AAAAAAAAACCAACAAAATATATCTGTCCCTGTCTGAGCCAACCAAGCCTCAGCATAGAATAGGCAGTACCAGTTGAATTCTTGCCCTAGGAAAATCAGAGCTGAGTTATTGTTCATCAGCATCAGGATTTGATTCAGCATGAATGGGAGAAAAATCAAGGCATGGCTATGAGATCCCAGCCAGCAGTGTGCTTTAACTCACATCCAAGCTTAAGGCCATGAACAGTCCCAAATCACACACAAGTACCGTATGTACCGGTCTTAAGGGAATAAAATGGGTTGATGCATGCACAGCAATAAATTCTAAGAAGGATGATGTTTTCAGTTGCCTAATTCCTGCAGGATGTAGGAGTTTCTGTTTCTAGTTATCTTAAATATCTATACCATGACTAAGAGAGAGTGACAAGACCAGCATCGTAGTTAGGAGCATGCAGGAGTTTCACTGCTCAGGCCAGACTTTTTCCTCTCTGCTCCCCCAGGAAGTCCCATTGGAGGGGGAATTTGTTAGTTCTATTTTCAGTGCCCTGCCTCTGCAGTCAATAAACTGAATGATGAGGCATTATCTTCCCATTTGACACATGCATCTGTGATTTAAAATCCACTTTTGGCAATAGAACATACTGCAGAAATTTGAGTAAAAGCAGGGCAAGAAGAGACCTCAAGAATCTTTTCTAATGTATCCATCCACCTGTGTTTTCTGTTCTTAAAAGCTTTGCACAAGCTTCTCCAGGAGCTTGTTGCAAGATCTCACTATCTTCACAGTTCACATAATCCTCAGAAGCTTAATCAGAATTCTTAATCAGAGTTCTTGTCCTGCCCACCATGAACATGAACAAAAACATGACTGTGGCCCATGTTAATGAACCCTTTTGTAAGAACCCCAGTGTGCTCACCTTCCCATCACAGCTGCTGTTTTCGAGCCCTCTGCCCTTTACTGGTGAGATACTGAGAATTATTCTCTGAAACGCCTTGCAAGCAGCCCTTTATAATTTCATATTTGCTGTGTTTCCTTGGCTCGCTTATGAGACTGCCCTGACAAAAGTCTAACAATGTCAGGATTCGTGACTTGAACTGTTTCTCCTTTGTCTCAAAGTCTGTTGCATTGTCACGTAAGGAAATGAGATTGGTTTAACTTCACTTATTCTTGACAAATCCACACTGATTGTCCCTAATCTCTTTGTTTTCTCTTAAATGCTTACATATTGTTGGATTATTTGTTCCAGGATGTTTCAGGAAACTGAAGGGAATCTGGTGTGTCTACAATTCCCTAACTCCTCCTTCCAAGCCTTCCCTCTTTTAATAGGTTTCCATTCCCATCTTCTTCCTTTTCTATAGTTTTGGAGGTTGTTACTCCTCTAAATATTTCCTACCACAGGGAGCTCATCGGCAAACAAAGAACAGCAGTTGGCAGAGGGCCTTCTTAAAAGACAACCATGCTTTGATGACCAAATATGCTAAATCATATTTTAAGCAGTTTTAGGTAGATTATTAACTGGGTTTTTCAAAGGTCTGTAGCACTGGTCTAACTCTATTCTTGCTGAAATAAATAACAGATTTTGCGTTGGCTACAAGTGGAAGCTTGAAGATTTTAAAAACGTATTTCCCTTGCTCTAGAGATGTTGAGATTACATTGAAATGATAAATGGTGAATGTGGTGCCTATTGTATAGCTGTCAGCAAACTTGACATGTGTTTTTCTTCATTCACATGAGAGTCATGTGATTTTCAAATATACAATAACTACACTTTCTTTTTGCTTGGCAGATGTAAAACAAACCCAGCTGAAGTGGTCAAAGTGACCCTGAAACTGTGGGATAAACTTATTGCAAGGAAGAGTGCCTGAATTTCCTTTTGCATCATATGGGATTGGGGCAGATCATGTGGGTGAGCAGTTCATGCAAGATCAACATATTGACTTGCTCAAGTTAAAATATCTCCTTTTGCAATACTGAGAGCTCCAAATGATGATGGAACAAGCAACCAGCTGGATGAGAAAATTAAAGGTGTATAATACTCAAGCACTTTTTCCCCTGTGCCAGAGGCTGCTCTCAGCAGACCCGGGCCTATGAGATCTCAGGTACCAGCTTTAGATCTGCAATAATATATTCAGTTTTCTCATACCTCACATCTGCACCTTCTCCCAAACTCTTCCTTCTCCGTGCCTTTTCCTATAAGGAGTGTGGAAGAGAAGAGCTGTGTCTGGCTGCTCACAGTGAAGCACATCATTTTATATCAGCTCCGCTGGCCAGCTGCCAGACACTGTGGAATCAATCCTCTTCCACGAAATCATCCCTAAGTAAGTAGCTCTTACATATGTTTTCATTTGATTCCTAAGCACTAATCAAGCCCTGGTATAAAAGAAAGGCAGGGAGATTCCCTTTGCGCTCTCTCTATTATTTCTCCCACTGCAGTGTCTTCATGAAACTGGGAGACATGAGCAGAATCACAGCAAGGTAGCAAAGGCAGAAACTCTTCCTGAAAGGCTCCAGAGCTCCCTACTAGAAGGAGTGCTCTTGAATGAGGCTGCTGACACACTTTTTACTCCTGCTGAGCCATGACTTTTTCCTCCCAAAGAGACCAGGCACTAGAAAGAGAAGCCAGCTGCAGTTCATCATCAGGGACTCGTGTGATTTCACCTGTAGCAAGAAAAAAAAAAAAAAAGTAAGACTAAGAAATTGAATAAATATCTTCATGGTTGGATCATCCTGCACAGGCCCCTGTCTTATTTTATTTTTTTTTTCCACCCCTGTCAAATGTCCCTCTCTATCATTTCACACTTGGTTTCAACGTAGCTGCAAAGGTGGAGACGGCAATTTCACTGCTGCGCTCATCTTGACCCCACAAGACCCAGCCCTGCACAGAGACAGAAGTCATCCTCCCAGGACTGCTGCCAGAAGAGATGCAGGCAGTGACTCTTCAATCCTTCAGCTTGGTTTGCGGCACAGGGTCACCGCTGTTCTGTACAACACCACCCCCTTGTGATTTCTCTTGCTAACAACACGCTAAAGTGCAGCTCTTTCCGGAGCGATCATTTGGCATTAAACGCTTCCTTTCTGAGCAGCACGAATCCCCACCACTACACAGCCGGTGTCCTCAGTGGGAACCGAACAACACTATTTGACATGTTGCATACATTTTGCTTTCAGTGAATTGCTCTTTTCCTACTTATGATTCTGTAGTTGATGCTGCAGGAACTTGGACAGACCTGATAGTCCCACCTCCGCACATGTTGCACCTCCCCTCTGAAAGCAGAGTACAGCACAGAAATTCCAGGACTGCTTGTGTATGTTTGCTGTCATCTTGCACTTATTTGAGGTGCAGACGATCAAGGCCAGGACGCTTTAATTGAACAACAGCATCTTTGCCCATGCAGTTCATGGCTCAGCTGGAGCAGCTGATGCAGTGCTGTGGAGATGCTGATCCACTTCTTTCCCCAGTACGACTGTATGAGGGAAGTACTCATCCTGATGGGGCAAAAACGAGGGCAAGCAGGCATGGTTGTGCTGGCAGCCAACCAGCTGCACTGTCTCAGATCAGTCCCTAAGCCCAAACAGCTGGAGACCTAAGAAGGGAGATGTGCTGAGGGCCACAGAACTAACACAGCTCACAGAAAACTGAAGGTGCCTTCCTGAAAAATCAGACTGTAAAACATTTATAATGGACTTTGACAAGTGGAAAAGAAAGTGAGACATTGTTTTATTACTGTTTTGCTCATCAGCAAATGCTCAGGTGCTTGAGTAACATGATCACTGTAACATGCAGGGTAGCTGTTTTAAGGAACCACTGCTAGTAACTGAAGAACAATTTGTCTTCGTTAAGCATTGGCTGCTCTTCCTGTTTGTTGCCCAAATTAAGTGCAACTCAGCATTCTGTCTGAACATTGTGGTGCATCTGGGATGACATCTTTACTTTGACAAGAAACAGAGTATGTTTAGATGTCAATTTTCCACCATGGTTTCCTTGATATCTAATGTAATCTGTGCATAGATTTCCCTAAATACTTCAAAGAAAAAGAAGAAGGGCATCGAAACAAGTAAGAAAACAATACAGGAACAGTTTCCTGAGTGCTCTCTTGTTAACAAATAAATCAGCCACAGAAACAGGTAACAGAATTATTGAACAATGAACTGGAAACAATGAGGCTTGTGTTCAACCTCCATCCCTCCTTCAGAAAAAGGTGTGGTTTGCAATGATGTGAGGTTGCTCGGGGTTGCTGGAGATTCAAAAAGCAGTGAGGGAAATCTGAGGAATGAAATACACAATTTTGGTTCAGAAAGTTTTCTTTAAAAGCAATTGTCATCATAATACTTACAAGAAATAAGACAAATTTAAAGGCCAAGTAAGCACTCAGACCAAGAACATATCAACAGTAGTTTTAGGACACCTTTCATCTAACTTCAGACAGTGATAGCAGAGGTATCTGAGATGAACCAGTTATGCAGAGGTCCCTTTATTTAATGGGGTGACATCACTACCAAAGCAAGATTTACCTGCTCTGTTTTAGAAATCTAAAAGGTTTAGGACAGGCTGAATTCTACCACTTTTTCCTCTCCATTAGCTTTAAGGGGAATTAAAGATACGAGCTCAGAGCTCAGCTGTCTTATCCATGCTTACCTTTGGTCAGATGGATCCTGGCTGTGGACAATGAACTGTTAACATCAACATCAGAACAAGGAGCCTTCCAAGTCTGGAAGTGGGACAAATAGAGCACACAGGAGAGGTTTTTTTTTCCATGGTACTGTAACCTCAGTGCAGACAACACAGTATGTTTCCATAACATCACCCCATCCCACAGCTTTTGCTGGATCATCTTCCTAACACAGATATCACCAAAACATGTGGCTCAGATGCTTTCACCACTGTAACATGACAAAGGAAAATTGAATTTTAGGCCATTACTACGCTGACATTTGTTTGCTTTTTCTGTTTAAAATACTCGAGGACAGTGAACCTCACTGCAACGTCAGTGTGCCAGAGCAGTTCAGATCAGGTCCACAGGGATACTTTGATGCCTGAAAACACACACACACACAAACACCACTTAAATGAAACTATGTGCATGAACACCTTCACAGAGCAGTCCAAAAATCCACCCGCAAAGCAACTGCAGAACGCATAAAGGCAACGTGAATAGAGATTAGACCAATTTCAACCTCAAAATCCGAGTCCTTCCATCATCAGTTGCTTTGGATCAAAGTTTGATAACTCCTTCTCTTTCAATCAGGTGGGTGGTTGATGGTGTTTGTTTGGGTTTTTTTTTTCCTTCTTTACTTCAGGACTCTGTGAAGTTTTCAGACTGAAACTCCACAGCCTGCTTCCTTCCTAATTACAGAACCCTGTTAGGGCACGCAGAGAAAAGGCTGGATTTCCCTTTTAAGCTCAAGCCTGTCACTTCCTTGAAAAATAACTGCAGCAAAGGAGAACGAGCAGCCCTGCAAGGCTTCCGGTGAGAAAAGGCAGAATCCAGCCTTCCTCTGCATTTCAAGGGCTGCGCGTGTGTTTTAAATAAAACTTTCCCGTTTAAAGGGCTTTACTGTTACGGTGAGATCCAGCAAGACTGATCAAAAAGCGAAGAGTAAAATGAGCGCTGCTGGAATGGGAGGCAAGGTAACGGGTGGCAAAAGGAGCGCTCTGAGCAACAGCCACACGCGCCCGCCGCAGGGCCGCGGACTCGAGCTGTGAGGCCCCGCCCAGGCCCGTAGTGAAGCCCGCCCCGCCGTCGCTAAGCTCTGTCGCCAAGGGAGGAAACGTCGCAAAAGCTGACAGGAAACTTGGCCGCTCGTTACGACAGCAGCGGCCGCGCTTGGCGGCCGCTGGATGAGCGGGGAGTGGGAGCCGCGGCGCTGAGGAGACGCGGGGTGAGCGGCGGCGGCGTTGGCGGGCGGGGGGGCCGCGGCGGCCGTCCGGGCCCCGCGAGGGACAGGGGAAGGGCCCCGGCGGCGGCGGCGGCGGCGGCGGGGCGGCGAGGCGGGGCCCGGGCGCCGTCTGTGCCTTTGTTCGTGGCCCCCCCGCCCCCCCTCGGCCGCGGCCCGTGAGGCCGTAGCCTCGGCCTTTTTCCCCCGTCCGGTCTGACGCCCTCTTCCTCGGTGGGTTTGTGTCGGTCTCTCCCGTAGGATATGGCCGAGGTACCGCCGGGGCCTAGCAGCGTCCTCTCCCCACAGGGGGACACGCTCTCCCCCTTCCCCGGAGGAGGAGGGGGGGGGGGCTGCTTCCTCCTCCTCCTCGTGTTCCACCTCCTCCGCCGCCGCCGCCGCCTGTACCGGGGCCCAGGACGAGGAGGCCGAAGAGGAGGAGGAGGAGGAAGAGGAGGGACCCGCGGGCGGACGGGAGCAGCAGCGAGGAGGAGGAGGAAGCAGCGACGGCGGCAAGGGGGGGCCGCAGCAGCAGCACCGCCTCCACCACCACCACCATCACCCCCCGCACCACAACCACCAGCTCAACGGCCTCATCAGCCCCGAGCTGCGGCACCTGCGGGCCTCCCTCAAGAGCAAGATCCTGGGCTCTGAGGCAGGGGCGGCCCCCGAGGGGTTGGAGAACAAGCGAGCCGGCAAAACAATGGGCTCCGGACAGCAGCAGCAGCAGCAGCAGCCGTCTCCCCCGGCCGCAGCACCGTGCTCGTCCCCCCTTCCCAACCACCTCCCTCCCCAGGGAAGGACTGCACCCTCTCCTCCTCCTTCTCCCGCAGCAGCAGCAGCAACAGGGGACAGGAGCCAGCCTGCTGCCACAACTACGACTGCTGCTAAGACTGCAGCCCGCAATGGGCTGGCAGGAGGGACTGGCTTGGAGGAGGAAGAGCAGGAGGAGGGGGATGAAGGTGGGGAGGAGGAGGAGTCCTTGCTGCTGCTCTCTAGGTCCTTAGCAGCAGGCTGCAGTTTGAAAGGCTCGGGAACGGACTCTCAGCCCGAGGAGGACCTAACGATACGATACGTCCGATACGAATCAGAGCTGCAGATGCCCGATATCATGAGACTGATCACCAAAGATCTGTCTGAACCCTACTCCATTTACACGTATAGGTATTTTATCCACAACTGGCCACAACTTTGCTTTTTGGTAAGTGCTGAGGGGGAGTGGGCAAGAATTGGGAGTGGTTTAAAGCTGGGGTGGAGGCATGATTGAAGGGCTGACATGTGGAAACGCTTCTAAAATTCTTTTTATGGCTAAGAGGAAAGGCCAAGCTTTTTGGAAAGTATGTAACACTAATGAATTCTCCTTCTCACCTGAGCCTGAATAAGCAAAGCTTATGTCTGAAGTTCTTACATGCATTAGCGCACCTTTCTCAGTGGTGGGGAAAGGGTTTGAACACAGGGCTAGGATCCAGGAATTCAAGGCTTCTAATCTTGGTGTTGACATTGACGTCTTTGACCTTTGGTTGCTCATTTTGTTATTCTCTCTCAGTTCCTAGGTTTGTATTTAGAAAAGAAAGTATACTTAGTCCACGGGTATCTTGTGAGTGCTTATTAATTCTTGCACAATGGTTCTCAAACTGACTTCAGCAGGACTGGCATATGAATGTTGATGAGTGTAGGGGCACTGTTGAAGGTTTTGTAGACTTTTTGATCTGCTTGCTTATCTTGAGAATTTCAAGTACAACTATATCACTTTTCAGGTGTGGTAGTATATGCACTGTACAGAAATTCTCATTTTGTTCAGGCTGTCTTGCAGTACTAATGCTACCCTTAACTGTTGTATTCTTCCTTCTGCACTGTCAAAAAAGATTGTTTTAGTTGTTACCCAGACTTTCTAAATATTTAGCACTTCTTGTGGAAAGAGAACAGCCAGATGATTTTGGAACGTGTGTCTCAGCTGACAAGCATGCTGTCAGGGTAGCAATCCATGCACAGGTATATGAGACTGAGCATAAATTGGCCTGAGGGGTATGTATGCACAAGAGGGGGGCTTAGCTGTGTTTGATTTACTCTCTCTGTCAAACAGAATGTTTTGGGGAGCGTATGGTGCTTCCTTGCTCAAAGAAATGATTCTTTTCTCTTGATGCTTCAATTAAGGCAGGACACCACTCTGACAGATACGATTTAGCCAGAGCCAAGGTATCCTTTTATTCAATGGTACCTCTGTAAGATTTTAATTGGCTATGAGTACAGAAGGTGAAGCTAATGGAATCCATCTGGCCTTAAACTTACTAAATGTTCTTAGTTTAGGACGTGGTGTAATTTATAGTGGGATTTATATGATTTATAGGAGGGTTTCCAGAAATGTGCCTCTTACAGGCCTGAGGAAGGAATACAGTACAATTGATTACAGCAGGTTGACCAGAGTGTTACCATCTGGAACAACATAAAAAAAATATATTTGAAAATATCCTTCAATATGTAGTCGTGCTGATCAGGGTAGAGTGGTAATTTTTCAAGTGTAGTGCCTGCACCTAGCTATGTGTGTGACTGGTTTGCCTCATCTTGGAAAGAAATGCTTTCGAACTACAAGATCTTGTCTGTACTTGCAGCATCAGGTGTGCCCTCAGTAATGCCAGCATCATGCATCTCTTTACTTTGCCACTCAAGGAGCAGTGGCAAACTGTTCAATAGCACTAAAACAGATTATTTCTAATGTGTTTTTGAATGCATTCAAGGAGCAAGGTTTTACTCAAGGAAAGGAAGTCATCCTAAGTCTACTTTGTAGCGACATCTTCTTTTAATAGTCTTGAACAATCGACAGAACTTTATTTGAACTCTGTAATTTTACTCAGTTTTGCCATTTTTTTGAAGGATGGAATGATAGGAAGTGTGTAAAACAGAAAAGATGTCTAAAGCTGTTAGCAAATAGTTCTACATGCATAATAACTTGAAGCTCTTCCAGTATCTTGAGTCACTTGATATAATTCTGTGACTGATTTTGGTGTTTTTAAGGCTTGTTTAGTGGTTGTCATGCAGACTTTCTGTTCTATAAAATTGAATTTCTTCCTGCAGTTAATGGATTTTTGAACTACTTCTATCTAATAACTCTTTAAAATATTTATCTTCAGCAGGAACTGCATATTCCAATTAGCAAGAACAATGTCAGGTTGGTGCTCGGAAGGATAGCGCCTGATCCCGCAGAATCATTTGTCTTTAATGCATCACAGCCTCATACCCTTCTGGTTCCAGGCTTTGCTTTGACTTTGATTCTTCTTGGGTACAGAGCTTAGACTGTAACTTGCTTGTATTTGAGGGGAAAAACTGTAGCATTTCTATCAGTTTAGTTACTGAATTTCACCATTGCTACTCTTGTTGAGGTCCTCCAGTGCAATAATCCGAGGTCTTCATTGCACTGAGATGGGCTCCCTTCCTCCAAAGCGTGAGGGGAAAGAACTAACTCTATTTAAATGGACAGGATGTCTCTCTTCCTTAAATGATCAGCAGTTCTCCCTTGCTAATGTATTCAGTAAACAATCTTAAACGTAATCCTGCTGTGTGGCATTTTAGATCCCTGACCATGTAGAGCTTTTCCAGGGGAATTAATAACATTATTCCTTTGGATGATGACCTCGTGGGTTTGGCTTGGCCTTTGCAAGGTGATGTGACTTAACAGCTAGTGCCAATCATAGGGCTGCTTGCTGCTTCTGGTTCAAGCACCTTGTCCTCACTTGTGCAAATTTTTAGTTTATCTGATTTGGGAAGTTAAGCTAGCTGCAGTGCCCTACCATGCATTTATACATGTTTGTGTGTTTGAGGGGATATAAGTGTCATGGAGTTAAGTTTCAGCCAGTTTAGCTCTCTAAAAGTATTCATAACAGCGTGGCACAAGTGCTGGTGTTGGTGCAAGAGGAGAGGTGAGAATACACAGCTGGAGGGAAGGCCTGGGACCAGTCCTCTCCGATCACTAGCATGGTTTTGCAGTATCAAACCATTTCCTAGCTATACACTCAAAAACAAGTTCACATTCTACTTTTAAAGGGTCTAGAAAACCATCAAAACTCATCGTTGAACATCAGATGAATCTGCGTAACCATATTCCTGGCCTTTGAGTTAACACATTGAGAGTACTTGATAAATAGCTCTGGTATGGGACACTGCTGCGTTATCTGACTGAGCTATAGCAAGATAATAGCCTTCTCCTCCTTAAGCTGTGACTGAATGCTTAAGCTTAGATTCCTCCTGTCTTTGGAAGAGCAGGTGTGGGTGTGCTGGGTGTGGGTGCCGTATGCTTGGGTTTTATTTGTTCCCAGGAGCTTTGTCAGCCCATTTTCTCTTCAGATGACCTACAGTAACCACTGCTGTCAAACATGAGAAAGGAGAGGGCTATCTTTCTGTTTCACATCTTTAAACATTGCCACAGCTTTGTCCCTGTATTGACTGTAGGTGCATCTTTGAGGCTGTAGCTGTGTTTGCAAGTGTTTTTGCAGATTCTAGAAAGTGTTCAAACTCCTTCCATTTAGGACTGATAAGTTGGAAAAAAAATTGTTTCCCAAGTGCTGTAGCGTGGGAGAGGTGAGCTTGGGAAACCTTGCTCTGTTCCAAAGTTTGGGTAAGAGAGGATATAATAACAGCAGGGTTCTGACTGAGTGTTGTAATCTTTCCTTTACTCATCACTGCAGAATCACTGCTCTGCTCAGCCACCTTTTAAGAAAAATCTGGAAAATGCATGCTTTTATTGGGTTCTGAACTTTGCCAGTAGCTAGAGCAGTGATTGTAATTTAAACTATAGTAATTTTAAAAGTAGCAATTAATTCCATGTACATGGTTTTAGATGGGCTGTAAATCCTAAATGGCCATGGCTAAGATCTTTTTTTTTTTTCCTACTGATACTTTGCTGTTTGTCTCACTGGATTTCATTTATGAGTTTCTATGCTTCGCGTTCAAATTAAAGACTTGTAATAAATCATCTCCTTTTTTTTTTTTTCAGTTACAGAATGCTTGGGGGGATAAAAGAAGAACCAGAAAAGTTAGGGAACTGCATGGGGAGTCTTACCAGCCTCATGGCAGACTTAGGAAGGCATTCTGTCATATCCATATCCGCACCCAATTTGCAAACTGCTGCAACTCCTCTGTATTCCAGTTTCCTCTTAGGAATGATCACGCTTTGAGACACTTGCTGTGCTGCTTCTTCCTCCAGCAGGCTTTGTGAAGGATTCAGACTCTGTAGTGTATGTGTATTTAACAGCAGCTAGTGGAGCTCTTTTGGCATTGAATTGCACAGGAAGGAATTGCTCGTGTCCAGTTTCATAGAGTGGAAGCAGGGAGAGTGACTTTGTGATTTGCCCAGCGCTGTAAAGAGCTCTGACTGAACTGCCAGACTCCAGGTTAAAACCATTAGCCTAAATGTATTCCTTAATAGCATTTGGTAACATGATCGTTAAATGTGAGCCAAAGATTCAGACTGAGTTGTTCCTGTGATACTCTGGGATGGATTTTAGTGCCTGTGTGGAAAAGGAACCTGCAGTAGTGCAGGTTCTACTGCATTTGAATCACAAGCTATTCCTCTTTTAGGGGCAAGTTGGTTGGTTTAGTCATCTTTAAGTGGGAACTCTGAGTCCAAAAGGCACAGAGGCAGTGACTGACAGATGCAATGCCACCTTTGCCAATGAAACTGGTGCCAGTTGTTTAATTATAAGAGAGGCAAAGTTCTTGCTAATCTATGAACATCTGTGTTAACTCTGGGCATGTGTGGTTGCAATACAAAGGTTTTAAAATCTAGTTTGATTTGAACTTATGAATAAGAGCAAAGTTGATGCAAATATTAGATTTGAATATGCGTGTGTTAATGTTGCTGAGAACTTAGGACTGAAGTAAATCTTATAGTACTCCATGGGGCTTATGATATATCATGGTAACTTGGGCTGAATTCTGTTTGTGGAAGCTTGTATGTTTAGAATTACTCTCATGTACTTGAAAAGAATATTTGTCCTATGATAGTCTTCTCATATATGATGTTGTACAGGAGCTACTTTTTCTCCTTCCTTCCCCCAGCTCTCATTCTTTTTTCTTTTTCCCCATATTTACACAGCTAGACGTTTTCCAAAGAAAAAATATGACCGAGTTTTACTTCACATTTTGGATTTGTTTCCAACTTTAGATAAAGTTGGAAAGAAGAAGAAAGGAAAAAAAAGGCAACGAGAAAACTCAGGTTGCTGTGCTCAGTATGGAAGCAGAGCAGTCAGAAGTGAAGGGGCAGACTCACCTGGTCCAAGACAGAAAGACAGATTTAAGTGCTAGGAAGTGGTAACGAAGTGATACTGTATGCAACTTTGTGGCAACATCAGTGGGAATTTCCTTTGATTGCTGCAACAAAATTATTTGCTGTTCATTTAATGTTTAATGTGAGTACACATTTAATGAAAGTAGGTTTTTTGGAAAGTAGTTCTAACAAGGAAGAAAGCAAATCTGCTGTTGCCTGAGATGGTGCTGCTCCTGAATGGTGAGGAGGAAAAGAATCAAGTGCCAGTTCGTGCTGTCTTTTTTTTTTTTAAAGCAAGGTATAAGATTACATCTAGGTACTCAGCATAATTATAGCAATGTTATGAAGTGTCTGATGATACTCTTTAACTCCCTGCTTTTCTCAGGTCTGAGCAGAGATAGAAGATTTGCCTTGAGCTGGTACTTTGCATGCAGTTTTTGTATAAGTACAGCTTTTCTATGAAATGAAGGTGTGTTTTAGAACAAACAAAAGACTGCTTAGAGGCTGTGTATTTCAGTCCACTTAGATCATGTTTCATTTGCTGTTTCAAAAATTACAGGTTTAGATTGTTCAGGGTTGTTTTAAAAATTACTGATGTATATTGTTCAGGGTTGCTCTTGGGTGCTGTTAGAAAAATATAGATTTTTGCCAAATGTAAAAATTAGCTATATTTGTAATTATGTTTGCCTGACGAGCTCGAACCATATTAGATGTGTTGTTAGGCTCACGCTGCATCACAGAGGTATGGAACTCATTCATTTTGGGCTGCTTCCTGTCACCTTCTAATGGGCTTCTGGCTGACAGCTGGCTTGGTTAATAACCCACTGTCCAAATGGAGAGCTGGAAGACATCACACTTCAGGCAGCAAACCTGCAGATTGGTGCCTGTGGTGTGATCTCTATCTAAGAGCCTTCTGCCTATAGATTCTTACCCTACAAGCTGCACAGTGAAACCTTCTGTTTACAGAGTTCCTACCAGAGACTTTGGGGAGACGAGCACTGGAGGCCTGGTAATACTGGCTCAGGCAGGTCTTTTTTGTTTGATGTCTCTTAGTGCTGTGAATTTGGATTATCCAGAAGCTGTTGTGCTAGCACATGCTTGTGCCAATCATGTGCTGTAGGCCTGGTTTAGGAGGCACGCTTGAGCGGAAGGCTGGTTCTCCCTGCAGATACAGGTCTCAGAGTTCTGAGGATCCACTTACACACCCATGCATGCAATTTTCAGCTTCTTTTTTTATCTGTCAATCTTTCTCTGAATAAACAGTAGTAATTCATTCTCTTTTTGGATGCTGCCCTGCTCTGTAGCATTATTCACTTGACTGCTGTATGTTCTAATGTCATTAGTCTCTCATGCTGCCTAGTCATTCAGTTAACATATGAGTTAGTTATTGTGTCTCTAATGTATTTCATGGTAGATTTTTTAGTGTGTGTGAGCACAGAGGCTGTGTGAATGGTTTGGTAAGGAGAGGGGTTAGGATCTAGGGGTATTTTTTTCTTCTTAATGTTTCAGAATGTCTCCTTAACCACACATTTTGTGTGGTTAATACCATTGGATCTGTCAGTGCGTAGCTCATAGTAAATAAAATCTCAGAACAGTGAAAATGTGTGAAATTAACTGGATGCTTGTTTTTGTTTGTTTGTTGCTGGGATGTCCCACGACTGAAAATGACTGTTTGTAAAGATTAAATGCAAAGGCATTTTTCTCTGATGTGTTACTCTGATGTGTTATGTGTAAGCACCAGATAAAACTTAAGTATATTACCCACCCCAGCTATTGCACTTGAAAATTCAGATCACAAGAAAGAGCTTTTTACTTTGTGGCAGCACATATGGAAGCACGTATCTATGCCTTAACCTGGTCTTTATCTCTTTTCTACCCCTTTCTGTCCCAGATGTTCATATTGGTAGACTTCATAGAGTAGCACTTTGATTCTCTCCTGGACAATTAATTGCCTGTTGATGGACTGTAATTTGATTTTAAGATGATAGAGAAATAAGAGACCTTTATTCTTGTTCATACTTCTGGAAACGTTCTTAAGACTGACTTGGTTGTCGTACACAAGCAAATTCTGTACAGCTGTTTCATTTTAAATGTACTGGTTACTAATTCTGGTAGTGCTGCAGATCATAAACTGAGAATACATACCTATATGTTTGTCTTTAAGGCCATGGTAGGGGAAGAGTGTGTAGGTGCCATCGTCTGCAAGCTGGATATGCACAAAAAGATGTTCCGCAGAGGTTATATAGCCATGTTAGCAGTGGATTCCAAATACAGAAGAAAAGGAATTGGTAAGAAGAGCCTTTTTGTTGTTATTTTTTATATCCTACGTTGTTGGGGTAAACATAGGTGCATGAAGATTGAAGCAGAGCTGCACTTCTAGATGTGGTGGTTTGATGTCATCCCTGCCTTGCTCACCTACACAAACTCCCCAGTGTCTTCTTCCATTCAGCTGAAATAACCTGAAGTGCCCATTCCACACGAGCTTTACATCTGGTTTATGAAGCTAAAACGAAAGGCATTCAGCAGCCACTTACCTCTGCAAATTACCACCATCAAATAACAACTGCAGGAATTGCTTTTCGGTTTTATATGTGCTTTCATAACTTTGTCTTTATTGTGTTCAGTGTATACATATGTATATGTTTTTTCCCAGTGGAAATGTCCCCTGGTTTTCCCCTATGAATTATGTATATACTGCTCGCTGGGGACAACATATGTAGCTCATTGCTGTATTAATGCTTGAAAAATAGTTGTGTATTCCTGCTTGAACAACCAAAATGGAGAGCTGTTTTGATGGGAAGTCACACAATGAAATAAACAGCTCTTGGCAGGGAGTTTGCCTTCATTGATCACTTTTTGCTCTGTTGGAAGGGATTTTCCTCCTTTAATCAAGCCATCTAGGAAACCTGGTGTTAGGATTGCTCTTAGGGACCTTAATTCCTTTGAGTTTGTTATTTTGAAATTGATTTTGTAACATCTTTAACTTGAAAATTATCACGAATGTTTGGGCATACGTGATTATTTTATTTTGATGCAATTCAGAAGCTCTTATTGGTGTCTGTAGTGGAGCAGAAGGAAGAGGATAGTGAGAAATGGTTCTCTCCTTTCCTTTTAGCTGAGTCATGAAGCAGCCTGCTGTGTTTTAGTTGCAGGTGCTTGGATTCATAAGTAAATAAGAACTAACACTGTTCTTAAGATCTCTACAAGATTTTTCCTTTGCTTTAGTCAGATCATTATTTTAGAGTTATATAAATAAATTTTATACTTAACATTTTGCTTACTTTAGTATTATGTAAATGCTAACGTCTATCCTGCATTTATCATCTTGCTGTTGCTCAAAGCATGCTGTTAATCTGAAGGTGTTTTATATGCAGTACAGTTATGTTCAGTGAAAATCTTAATTGATTAAAGTTCTGAGGATACTTGAAAACAACCTCTAGATTCCTTGGGGTTCTTTTTCCTTTTCCTTAGCCTTCTTATGGAAGTGACATTTATGCCATTTCATTGAACAGCAGTTTTTTCCAGCAATAACTTTGAAATCAACTTTCAATTTCACCCCAATTCTCCAGACAGGTAGGGATATTGCATTCATAGAACTGTCATGAAATAGATGAGAAATAATGATAAATAATTAAGTTAATGCTTGACTGAAGGGAAGGGGTGGCTTTGACCACGTTATTAGTTGCTGACAAATCCAAATGGGGAGCGAGCTGCAAGAAAAGTGGTTTCATAAGTTCTGTTGCTAGTAGAAGTATTTGTTTTAGTAAGAGGAAATTCCCTTGGAAGATGAATGCCCTTCAAGTACATGCCGGCAGAGTTTGCCTTTAAATGCAGCAAAAGGGAATGAATCACATCTTGGAAGGCTATATATAACACCATGTTAAACATAGGAGCCTGTTTCTAATATCCTCGCGTTAGAAGACTTTTGCATTCAAGCTGAGCCTCTGGATAACTTTAGGGATGATTTCAATATTCAGACTTGAGACTGCAACTTCTTGTTACATTCTTTCCTCCCTAATTTCCCCAGATGTCACGGCACGTAGGTAGTACAGGTTAGTTGTACATAAGCTGACATCTCTTGCACCTCCACTCTAATTAATACTTGCTGAACTCTGTGTTTCAGGTACAAACTTGGTTAAGAAAGCTATTTATGCTATGGTCGAAGGAGATTGTGATGAGGTAAGATCTCCATAATCAAAAACTTTCGTATTGTTTATGGTTTGTGCTCTCCCACGTGTGAATTCGTTTCACAGGTTTGTCTTTTAATTTCACAGGAATGTGTTTTGGGTGGGAGGTGGGTTGGTAATGCCCTCTTTTATAATAGAAGGGAAAAAAGCCTCAAAAACATATGGCGTAAATAAAATAACTTTCTAAATTTGTCATAAATATTCAAGTGCAGTGTTTCAGGTTCTGTTTTACATTGCAAAGCTGCCTCAGCCTTCAGTTGTTGGCATATTTTCTTCTTAAGAGTCAACTTTAGGTTCAGTTGACCAGTGTAACTTGCATGTTGTTGTAATATTTCCATGCTTTCAGAATGCACGGGATATTGGAACAGTACATGCTGTAATATTGCAGATTATAGTTTTATTGCAGCAAGTAATCAGGTAACTTCAACAGTGCTGAAGCTGTATCACACAGCACTAAGTTCTGATGATTTAGCATGGCAGTGAAGGAAAGTGTCTTAATTACTGTCAGGCTTTTTCTCTGGCCTATTTGTTAGTCTTTTCTTTTACCAGATTATAGTCCTATGGTTTTTTTTTTTCCTCCCCTTTTTTAATGTATGAAGCAACTATCTTTACGTTCCCTGTTTAACTTGTGAGGAACTCCCCTTGTAACCAATCTCCTTAATCCTGTTATCTGATTCTTTAACTTCCATCTGCTTGCTACAGTGCAGTTGTTAGCTTATTCCTGACATCTGAACACCGTGTCATTTCAATGTATCATTGCTAATGATCCTTTGTTACCTCATCTCACTCCATTCCCTCAGTTTTTCATAGAATCATAGACATGGCCAGCTTGGAAAAGGCCTTCAAGATCAAGTCCAACCACAACCTAACCATGCTACCCTAACTCTAACCACCCTTCACTAAATCATGTCCCTGAGCACCACATCCAACTGTTTTTAAACACATCCAGGGCTGGTGACTCAACCACCTCCCTGGGGAGCCCATTGCAGTGCGTAACAACCCTTTTTGTAAAGAAGTGGTTCTTGATATCCAGCCTAAACATTATCTGGTGCAACTTGAGGCCATTTCCCCTTATTCTGTCACCAGTGAGAGGAGACTAACCCCTCTCTCACTGCAGTCACCTTTTAGGTATTTGAAGAGAGCAGTTTTCTGGTGTCTTTTTTTTTTTTCTTCTACCATTTGTTGTATCCAGGCAGTGTACTGCAGTCTAATAGTTCTGCAGTTGTTTAAGTTCTTTGTTTTGTCTTGATGTTTTTATCATATATACTGTGCTTTACTCTATTTTCCCACTTGCTGCCTTTAACGCATCTTTTCCATTGCTTTCCACTGTGGTCTTGTATTCATTTGCAACTGCTACATATCTGAGATTTGAGGAACAAAGGGGGAAAAAGCCAAGTATATCAGTGTACTCTCATCAGACTGGGAGAAATAAGATGCAGGGTCTTGAAGCCTACTGCTGTTAGAGAGTCAGTAGCCAAACTTTGTGATTCTAGCCAGGCCACCAGAGTTGCAGTGCTCCCTGTGTTATGTATGAGTGTGTGTGTGCTACTTCTCCCATAGTGTTGTTTTGATACTGGACTATCTTGGAGGTATACACTTAATGAGCTCTCCTGTGTCATTCTTCTTTCCCCCTCACCCCCCTTCTCCTCCCGCTTTAATAATAATGCAAGAGTCTTTCTTACAATTACTTAAAGTAAACGTGGTGAGGATTGCAGGCTACTCTGCAGTAAGACTCATTAAGCCTTAGTCATAGATTTTCATCTTTAGTCTTGTGTAAATGCTCATAAAATCTTAGGTCATTTTTCAGGCTTTTTGCTGTCCCTATTTAATCAAATGTGCTTCAGTGCAAGCTCCTTAAAGTGTGTGCTGGACGGGTGCAGGCATGTTTCACTCCCAGAAATCATCTAAGTGTTTGTGGGATGATGATTCTGAGCTAATCATGCCATGCTTCTTGGGGCCTTTTGCATCAACCTGGTTTTATACGGGTACAACCTTTTGAAATGGGAACTCATGTCCAGGCAATGAGGAGCACAAGCAGAGTGTATTTCTGACTTCCTGCTACTCCAGTTGGCAGAGGCATGCCCAGAGTAATACAGTGTGTTAATGCCTAACATACAGGTAATGTACAACCAATGGGAAGCATATTCCTTTCCTTTAGCAGAAAGTATACGTTTCTTCCTGGCATGTGGTACAACAATACCAATGTTTACATGTTGCATGTGGTAGATTGCTGAGAAATTGTCAGTCGTGACCAGGATTTGAAAGATCCAGTTAGCCACCTGCTATTTAAAGCTCTCAGACAGAGCTGAGAAACTCACCCTCACCATTTATTACAGCAGTTGCTGGGGGGGGAACAGTTTCTGTCCATCTGATTGATGCCTGGCTGATGAAGCAGTGTGTGACAGTGACTGCTCTTTGTGAGGTGTGTAAATAGTTTCTCTCTGCTGCTTTTAACATGTTCTTCTACATCCCTAAAGTCAAAAGCATGGTGGAAATACAAAGATGCTGTTGATACAAAACAGATTGCAATTCAAAAATACTCTCTGGAAACTCGCTTAGAAAATCATTAAAAACAGGAACATGGACCTATGATTGTCACTGAAATTTTCCAAAAGCTGTTTGTAATCTTTTCCCTTCAGTCTAATTACAGAATAGTTGCAATCAATGCATTTAGTAACTTGTGACATGTAATCTGATAAATGCTTAGTTCATTGTGGTTCTTCATGAAGTATCACAGATTTTAGACTTCTGGGGTATCAACACCAAGCCTTGCAAAAGATGTGTGTGCCAACTCCAGCCAATAGAGCATCTGGCTGCCTTTTGTACATTTGTTTGGTCTTTATGACAAGCACTTTTCTAAAGTTATGTTGCTTAAGATCGTCATAGGGAGCTGCTCCATCCCTTAATCAGAATAAGGACAGGAAGAGTTGTTTGTTCACAGGTAGACTTTCCATCTCTAATAAATGACTGTAAGTAATTTGCAAATGATTATTTACCTCATGTTGTATTATTTCAGCAGCGTGTAACTACTAACTAATCAAAAAAGGACTTGAATAAGTGGAACTCTTCAGAGCTTTTTTGGCAAAGCGTGGAGAGGAATTGTGACTTCTGAGAATTCCTATGAGACTTTAAAATGTTTTAAAGTCAGATTTTTGTGAGTTCACCACTAGGTGTGTCTTTCTAATTCAGTGCCGTGCTTCTAAGAGTGATGGATTTTTATATAATCCTCTTTGAAATTATCAAACTCTTGGCATCTTTAGCTTTTTTGAATCCACAAAATCGTTTTGCGTAAGTTTTATATTTGAGATACTGCATATCTTTAAATGGTAAGTCAGTCAATCTGATGAAGGATGCTGGGCAAGCGTCCACAGCTTGAATCCTGTAATAGGCCAAGCTTATTTGTAGGAATAGTGGCCTCTTCTGTGAGTGCTGAAAGAGTTATTTTCCTCATTAGTTTATTTGATTTGGTTTCTAAACTTGAGTGCATTCAGGATTTGAGCTGAAAAAGCAAGAAAGCTTGACCTGCTTTTTCCTTCAGTTCACATAAACTAGGTACAAGAAGGTAATAACAAGAAACGTTGTATCCTGTTCTTACAAGAGATTCCTTTTTTCTAAAACCAGTTAAAGTTGACCAGAGTTGAGATGATAACTGTAAGTTTTTCTTATTTTGGGCATAAGAGAAAACAACGGCCTACAGAATGTTGCAGAAAGTTGTGTTCAAACCCAGTCAGACCTTACTGATCTACAGGAGCAGATGGGTTGCATTATGAGAAGACTTAATAGGCACGTTTGCAGAATAAAATAAATACTAAAGGTAACAATTGAAGATTTTGAGCTTGATTGAAGAGAAGAATCCTTCACAAAATCAGACTAACGGAGCACGTATAAATCTTAGGTGTTTCCTTACTAGATCCAGGAGTGTGTCTTAGCCCTCTGAGATCAAGGCACTATGTTGAGATCAAGGAATTATTGTTCATTGTGCTGGGTTTTTCTTAGAAATACCAGGACAAATCTATTGCATGAGCTTTCAAGATGAGCATTTGCTCAGGTGCTAAGATTCCAGCAAACCTGAATTTCAACATATAACCCCTCCCTTGGGTCTGCAGTGTTGGAAGTCTTCTAGCACTGCAAAGTATGCAAGCTTGCAGTTGAATACAGACATGTTGTATCACTCTGCCAGAATAAAGAACTTTCGTGCAAGTGAATGCCATTTGTAGGCAGAGTTCAAATAAGAGTTTCCTGCATTGTGGATTTACATGGGTCAGATTTCCTGTTTGGCATAATGCTTTGTTTTAATTTGAACTAAGAAATTGTACAGTGTGCATACTCGTGTAGAAAAGAGGAACTCTTCAGGTAAATTATTGCATTGCCATAATTGGTGATAACTTGAAAGTTATTTATTTTAATAGATTGAAATTGGTAAGAGTAATCAATCAAGTTGTAAGGCCTGATAGTACTATTGCATGAGGTGCCAGCAAGAGAAATTCAATCTCTAGTTCTTCCCATAAGACCAAGAATTGAATTTGCTTGTCTTAAGAGTACAGGTACAATAGACTGTCCTGTAATTTGAGAACTTTGGCTATTAATATTTTAATGTTTGTTCTAGAAAAACTTCTTTTAAGTCTTATTTTCCTGCAGTGTGTGTTCCTCACTGCTAGCTCCAGCTTTGCAGTTCTTACAACATTCACAAATTAAAAAGCACAGGGGGAATTGTCCATAGGAATGTCTGAGTGGCTTGAAACTTAAGTAATGCTCAAATACATAAACAGAGCAGATTTTTAAACCTTACTGAAGGAAATCAGTGTAAATGCTAGTAACCTCAGATGCAAAGAGCAAACATGATGGAGAGAAAATTGAGTTGTTTTTCTGATAGTTTGCTTTATGAAATAGTGTGGTAGTGAACTTAGTGAGCTGGCAGAAGAGCTGAGGGGGAGTGGAAATGCATACCTGAAGGCCAACAGTGTTCCAGGTAGGTTAGCTTAAAATGCTCTACAAATACAGGTTAGCATTTTTATTTTAAAACAGAACAACAGCAACTAAAAACTTCCTGCTTTTGGAAGATGAGGGATTCTGGGTTTTTAAAATACAGTTTTTTTCTTTTTTTTTTTTTTTTTTTGACTGGGATTTTTGTGTGGAGTGGTGGGCATCAGGTACTGGTTTAGGTGTAGCTGTTAGTGGTCTTGTACCTGCACTGCTCACTGGCTTGCTGCATAAATTTCTTGGAATGTCCTTCTACAATGTCCATCAGCTCTTGTTTAATTTGTGAATGTAGGTGTCTGGGGGATATTAGTGTCAGTTTATTACTTCTGCCAGTGTTCTTAAGCAACTGTGGTCAGTCCTTAACAGTAGAATCTCTGAATAACTGAGGTGGACAGCATTGAAAAAGGCAGAACAAATTCTTACTGGTTGGAATGGGTGTGTTGCTGACCAGGTGAGGTGTGCCATAGCTCTGTTCATTGTGTTTGGAGAAAACTGGCAAAAAGAATTCAGAGGGATGTACTTCAACAGTTTAACTTCTTGTTAAACTGGTCTGGTATTAAATGTGGAGGTAGGTGGCCCTGCCTTTGGCAGGGGGGTTTGGAGCTTCATGATCCTTGAGGTCCCTTCCAACCCAGGCCGTTCTGCAATTCTGTGATTGTTAATTCCAGTGTAGTTTTTGGGCAGTACTTGAGGCTCCTGGGACATTTTTCAGTCTTTCCTTTCCATGGACTACACTTGGGTTTGGTGTCAGCTGTTGGTGACAGCTTTTCTTGCAACTGTGGTATTGTCAACATAGAGGGCCAAAAGGGGAAAAAAAAAAAAAAAGATAAAAAGGAAAGAGCTGCTCTTTCTTCCTTGCCAGGCAAGTTGGGGACAATAAATGACCAAGAAGTTTTGATCTTCTAAAACCAATGCATTACTTGAAATGTAATGATACGCCTTTCACTTGCTCACTATAATCAATTACTTCCAGCCCAGGCCTTTCTTACAACAGCTTTGCACTCTGTAAGTTTTGATGTGCCCTTTGGCATATGAGGAATTTTGGTATGGGCCATACAAGAAGCCCCAAACAGGACTCTGTGAACCTGGGATCTGCTTGGTGTGTGCACTCTGGGATGAGTCTGAGGTCCTTGTGCTGAGCACAGATATGTATAATAAACATTGGATCTGATGGCGGGGCATAGAATGAAGGGGTTTGTATCTAGGTCTAAATCCTTCAAATTAAGAGGTGAGAGAGATATTCAGGGGTGAAATATAACTCACTGCATACCAAGTTCTTACAATGTGTGGAAGTTCTGGGCAGCCTGGTGTGGTGGTTGGCGACCCTGCACACAGCAGGGGGTTGAAACTAGATGAGCATTGTAGTCCTTTTCAACCCAGGCCATTCTGGGATTCATTCCAAGTATGTGTTTGTGTTCAATAAATGTGTAGCTGTTATACTGAGGGATGTGGTTTAGTGGGAGATATTGGTGGTAGGTGGGTGGTTGGACTGGCTACTCTTAGAGGTCTTTTCCAACCTTGGTGATTCTATGATTTGGACCCTGAGCTGTTCAATTGGTATTATTTTTTTTAAAATATATTTTATTGCTATCAGATAATGGTTTGAAACCCTGTTCACAGCAAACAAAATCTTGAGATGAATGAAACATGCTTACAGCTACTATTGCTAACTGCTGTTTTCTTTTAAATGTGAGGATTGAGGGGGGGGAGTTGTTTGTATAAACGAGGACTTGAAAATATCGATTCCAGAAGTTGCTCTGCAGTGTACCTTTGAATAACAGCTTTGGGATTTGTTCATACAGCTTTCTCATACATGCTTTCTCCTTTTTTCTCTTGAAGGTTGTATTGGAAACAGAAATCACAAATAAGTCTGCTTTGAAACTTTATGAAAACCTTGGGTTTGTGCGAGACAAGAGGCTGTTCAGATACTATTTAAATGGAGTTGATGCACTGCGTCTTAAACTATGGCTGCGTTAAAAGAATCCATCACATCAAGCAACTGACGTCCCAACAGCGCAGAGTTGTCCTTTGCATGCAATGCAATTTGTACAAAATTGCTTTGCAGGTGGACTTAGTAATTTCCATGCAGCTCTTATCTGTCAGTGTCTCATTTGAGTGTCGCACATATTTGTTGCACTTTGGCATGGCGCATTTGTTCCGAATTAAAGCCGATTGTTTCAAACTTCGAGTTCTTTTGGTACCAGCAAGATGTGCCAGTTGATAGCCAAGATAGGTTCGTTCATTTGCAAGTCTACTGACTGTATTACATACACAGTGAACATTTTATTGAAGAACCTGTTATGTGGAACACAGCTTTTGGTTCCCGAAAAGAAAAAAAAGCCAATGTAGATTGTAAAATTCTATAAGTATACTAACATTTCATACAAAAAAAAAAAAAAAAAATTGCCATAGTTTTCTGGAAAAAGGCTTCAATTTTAGGTTTTATTTTTCAATATTGAATTTTCCATTCTTAAATATTGGTACCTCAGTGATTAGTGAATGAAAAAATGTATTGTAGGGTGGGGTGTGTGTTACAATGAGTAACAGTAACAATTAAATTGCGTCTGCCAGTGCCTGTATAGATAAGTATATTTGTCTTCACCTCTTAAGTTTGGAGTGCATGCTTTTATTCTTTTACTTTCTTCAATTGTCTCTGCAAGAAAAAATTCTGCTTTTATTTAAATTCTGGATTTGATAATAAATTATTTCAGATTTTTATGATTTGGATACTTCCCCCAAACGAGGGTTTGGAAGGCCCTTCTTTTCTTATAGCAGGAAGTGTAAGCTATTTTGAAATCCTTGAGTAGCTGCTAAAAGAGAACCTGATGTTGCCAGTGAATCTCTGCTGGTTTTGGATGCACTTTTTTCTTTAAAAGAGTGAGGGACTTTTAAAAGAAGATATAGAAAATTAATGTAAATTGGTATGATTTTATTTAATCAAAATTATCACTAGAAGCTCTGAGAAACAGCTATTTTAAAATAGTTTGAATTTTTTTTTTTTTTTTTTTTTTTTTTTTTTCAGATTGCTTTGCTTCAGTGTTCTAAAATGCTTCAATCTTTGGTTCTTGGTCTTGGAAATAAATTTCAAGGTGTATTGTATCCATTTTTAGCTGCTCTCATTTTCTCTAAACTTACATGAGCTAAATTATTGGGGGATTTTTTTTTTTTTTTCCTTCCAAAATCGAAGCGATGGGGAGGAGATTTCTCTTCCTCTTCCTCCTCTTCCTCTCTCACTTTCTGTCTCAATTGGGCTTACATAGGTTTTAACAGTACCCATCAATCTGTTCAGTAATACAGTGTCTAGGCTTTCTTGTTCAGCGTGGCTATATGGCTCAGTTCTATGAATCGGTTGGTTGGGATTTTTATTTTTATTTTATTTTTATTTTTCCTCCACTTCAAAAAAAATAAAAAGTATTGGTTGACTTCTGGAAGAGTCTGCAGGGGAGAAGAGGGGGGAAGGATGAGCTCTCATTGAATCTGCTCTTTGGTAGTTAAGCGTACTCTTCAGATTTGCCTTACACTTTTTTTTCTTTAGGGTTTGGTTTGAGTCTTTTTTTGTTGTTGTTTTGTTTATGTTAATTACTGTACATTTAAAGAAAAGAAAAAAAAACAGAAACAAGAAAAACCCCTACCTCCATTAACATGTGGAAAAGATCCCTGTGCAGGAAAACTGGAGTTAAAGGAAAGCCTTATTTTGCGCAGACCGATCGCAAATGGTGATGGGCATTTCTTACCAAGTACAAACGATGAGTTGTGTTTGAAAATGAAGACTTGTAGTAGAAATTGGCCCTTCTGAGTTTTCTGCCTGGAAACACTGTGTTTCTGAGAGGGCTTGTTTCCCCTCAGTAAGGAAAACTCACTTAAAATGGTGCCTGAATTAGTGCTGTGAACTGGAATCTTATTTGCAGAGTTCAGAGCTAAACCTTCTGTTCAAATTTTCCTACCCCCTCTGGTTTGCCAGTTATTTAGAGCAGTTCTTCAGGAGGTGAAGGCTAAAGTGTTGGGAATGCTGAATTGATGGAAACAGGCTTTTCCCAGATGTATTCAAGTTGTCTGGAAAGTAACGCCCGCTCTGGCTTGCTTGAACTAAGGAGGCAGATAAGAGAAGCTTCGTTCCTTGTTAGCAGCTGCTGGGCTGCAAACTGCAGAGTAGGCTATCTTGTGTGCCTGCTGATGTTTAAAAACTGAAAAGCCAGACAAGCAAGTTTTCTGGAGGTTAATATTTAAGCTGTGGGTGTCTTGAGTTTGAGAGCAGACTTGAAACTTAGCCTACGTCACTTTTTGTGAAGGTACTGCCGAAAAATACCAGCACTGCTGAGCGAACTTCAGATACAGCTCTGTTTATTGTAAGAAGTAATTCATTCTTACCATGCCATCTTTGAAAACGCTGCGCAAGATAGGTGTGTGTTTCTTTTCAAAGAGCACATTGCCTGAAAGGTTCTCATTTTGCTGCTGTATAACACAGTTCACTACGGAAGAGACTGAAGCTGTATGCGTTGGCTTACGTTAAATGGAGCAGATTTATTCTCTGTGTTGCTTGGAATTGGGTCTCAAGTGGGAAGTCAAGAATTGCAGAGAGGTGAACACAGATGTTCAAAACGAATTTAGCAAAAAGGAGCTTGGTTATTTCTCGTGTCTGTTGTTAAAACACAGTTCCACTCCTCCTTACCTTTTGCATTGACAAATCTAGCTAAGGAGTTTTTATTTAGATTTGCCCGAACACTGCTATTTGCTGACATGTCAGGTATGGATGTTTGCTTTATGTTGGGTTTCTTGTTTTGTTTTGTTTTGTTTTGCTTTTTTTTTTAAGGAAATGATCGGGTTCATCACCTACAAGAAAAGCAGGCATAGTCTAATTGGCATTGCATAGTGAATCACAAACTTTTCCTGGGCACCACAAGGCATTGCTCAAACCGAGTGCTTTGTTCAAAATGTTCAGGTCTTGTATAAGCATTGCAACCTGTATTGGAGTTTAGGTATCAGAGGGGCATCTATGGAAATGTCAAGTGTATCTCCAAATACTGGACTGCTGTTTTGAGTGGATTATATTCTTCTGTCCCTTTATCCTTTTCGATGAGAACAAAAACAGTGGGGTTATGAAATGTACAAGCTGTCTAAATACAATGCAGTCAAATAAATGGTTAAGTTGTTTATCTATTTCCTTTTGGATGGAAATGTTCGTATGGTTGTTTTGCTCTGTCTACAAAACAGTGAATGTGCAGTGCCTGTATGAACTTCAGTTTCATAGCTGAACTGATGCTTTTGCCATGTGTGCCAAGTTATGGTGAATATCACTGGACTTTTCCTGAGAGATAGGAGTGGTTTTATTATTATTTTAGTTGTAACAAGCAGGAGTTGGGAACTGCTTGCAACTCTTGCAGAGATGAAAACAGGCTCTTAGAAATGCATTGGGAAGCCTATGGGTTTTGGAAGTCTCCTCTGTTTTATTCCCTCTGCAGTTGCACTGAGGTTCCTAAAACTTGCCAAGAACTCAGCAGCAAGTGTTGCATGTGTTTGGCCTCTGCTGGAAGTTGCTGCTCACCTGGCAGCAGCCCCAGGTCTGTTCTTTCAGCTGCTTTCCTGATTCCTTACAACTCAGCTACCTGGTCACTACAGTTTTGTTATGGAGCTACACTTTCACAGATGTTTTACTACTTTTCCATTTCTTACTCTGTGCAAGAAGCAGGTTACATTGTTTTCCTATGTCTTGCACCACATTGTATTTTTAGGCCTAGTACATCTAGTTAGTCCATGTGGGCTAGAGTAGACCTGGAGAAGCCTAATATTGATTTCAGTGTGAAAAAATAAGAAGTACTTTTCTAACAGGCAATCCAGGCAGGGCTGGCTGGGTGATATTTTTAGGAATGAATGTTTTATGTTTTATTGCCCACTCATGCACACTTTGGAAATCTTTGATTTCTTTAAAAATAGAGTGCAGAGGGATCCTGACCTATGAGTCATACAGGGAAAAGGGGAACGTTCTCAGTGCATGCATGTTTGTGGTGAGGATGCTGAGGCTCTCTTCTGCCTATTGATATCTGATTCCCTGTGGGGAAGGCAGAGCTGTGACTACATTTTGCTCTTGATTGTTGCTCTTCATTGTAAAGCTCAAGGGTAAGGTAAAAACAAGCAGTAATTCAAAGGGGTTTAGAATAGACGAGGTATTGATCTTTTAAACTTGCTGTCCTCTGCAGAACAGTTCTCCTTCAGCAAAGCGTGCCTGAGCCCTCTTCACAGGAAGATGGAAGTGGATGCTGGCAGCTTCTGTGTATTCAAGGGGAGGCTTCTTTAGATGATGCCTTGTTAGATGATTACTGGTTCATACACCTTGCTAGGATTGCAGTTGTGTTGATCCATTGCTGAGGTACACGTGTTTTCCTCCTTCACTGAACATCTGCTCTCACTTAGAAAGCACAGCTAAGGAGAAGAAATGTCCCTTCTGTCTCACTGCCAGCAATTCCTATTGATCTTTCTTCAGCTACGATAGGAAAAAGGTCAAATCCAACTTATGATTTATAGTCTGCACAGTCCTCTGCCAGAGCTCAGTTCACTGTGTGCTTTTCTTATAGCTGTTTCTGTTACCTTAGACCCGTAGGGCCTTGATTTCAGGTAATTATGAGTAAGAAATAAGAGGTTTTCCTGGTCTGAAAAGACTTGAGTAGAAGAAAAAAAAAAAAAACATATTGAAAGGTTGTAATTATTTTTTATTTTTTTTTTAATTTTTGAAATATTTTTAGGTTCCTAGGGGATAAAAACAGAAAACAACAACAAAAAAACAACCCAACCTCTCGGATTTTGTGTAATTTTTAAGCAGGGATGGAGAAGGGAGTGATTCTCTGAGGTTTTAGCCATTGTCTTACAGGTTGCTGAAACATGTAATTTGGAGATATGGGTTTAAATTCGACCTCTGCACTGACTAGAAGCTCTATCCCAGACCTAGGACATTTTCTGGCAACCCAAAGGCGATTGATAGTACCGTACAAAATATTTCTTGAACTCTTTGTGGATACTTTTCCTTGTATTGTGTGTATAACACGGCAGACTATGACAGATTCCAGTTCCTTGTTTTGGTCTGTAGTAAGGTGTGAACCACGAAGGAAAGCAGCAGAAGAGCTACACTACCAGGTGTGAAAGAGCATTGAAAGTGAAGGTTGAAAAAGCAAATGGTGGAGCAGCTTTGCC